ACTCCTCCAGAATCTCTGGCCATGTGTTTCCCTCTGGCGCTGCATCCCGGGCTCTGCCTGCTTCCTACCTCCTTTCCCTTTGTCTGTCTGCTCCCAGTGTCTTGGGGGCGGGGGGGTTGTAGTCTACTTGCAGTCAGCACTGTCTGTAAGACTTCTGCCCAAGGACCCCTGGGAGTTGTAGTCCAAATCCAGTCAGCGGGGCTGCTCTACTGCTGTCGCACATTCACATTGCAGTGTATTACATTCAGTACACACAGTATATTGCAGTACTTTGGTTTCAGCCACATTTTGTTAGGGTAACTTCATAGGGTTTGATGTTGTTGCAGTTGAGTTTTGCTGGGTGTTTTGTTAGTGTTACTGTGAGACCGGCTAGCAGTTCTTTTACACCTACTGAGCCTCTCACTCCTAATGTCTCCTTAGTTTGCTGTCACAGTTCTTGGGCTCCAGATTGGCCCTAGAATTCAAGGCATACAGCTGGCAGTCAGTATGTAAATGCTTGTGTGATCACAATTTTCCTGTCTTGGGGAAGAGAGGTTTTTGGAAGATGAAGCCAGCTCTATCTGTTCTGCTGCGTTTACTACTGTTCTGCATTCCTTTATGGAAACCTCTTTGATTCCAAGTTCCAGTGTTTTATTTTTTGGATACCAAGTGTTAGAAATGCTGCTGAGCCAACTACATTTTTCACAAAAGCAAGCTTATGCCGCTTGATGGTACTTCTCTAGTTGATTAAATTGAATCAGCAACCTCTGAACAGAGTCTTCTACTGGAAAAATGGTGAACATGACACAAGGTCTTGAGGGTAGGAGACATAAAGCAGTGAAAGATCGAGGGCTCTTTCAGACTCTCATTTAACTGATATTAATCTGCATCCTGCCATTGAGTGAAGCTAACATTGAAACTGGGACAATTATATGAGCGTTAACCAGTGGTTTTAAAAATAAAATATTTTAAACATCTAGCATTGGGTAATAACACATTTCCTTTTTTCCTTTTTTTTTTTTTTGCAGGTTAAACCAGTAGTTCATAGTCCCATCCGGGTTCCTTCCAGATGGCAGTTGTTTTATAACAAGCCACGTAATATCAAGTAAGCTCTTTGTAAATCATATCTTTAAATTTAGGTTGTTCATTTTCTGCATGTAAATATATACAGAACCCCCAAACATGTTCAGTAGAATGATAAATGCATATAATGGAGCCCAGATACAGTAACATTACTTTGGGAGGGGCAGAGTAAGACTCTATAAGGTTTTCCAAATAGTATTTAGGCATGTATTCCAGCCCCACTGGGAAGGGGTTTGTTAGGTGTGGTATCATATTAACAAGCCTGCTGTATGCTGCCTGTACTGTGTATGTATGTATCCAATGACTGTTTATAGCAGGGCTGTCCAATTTCTAAGCCCCTGGGCACCACACCAGCAGGAGCTGCATGCTACCTGGGCTTCACCAGATGTACTACACTGATATGCTGTACCAGGCGCCCTCCTACTCTGTCTCACAGGCATGTGAGTACACTGCCCTGGCCTCCTCCCCCCCAGTTACAATGCGTGCCTACATGAGTACCCCTCCCTGCACTGTAGTGCCATGTTGGGCACAATCCTCCCTACACACACGTTGCCCCAATGCTCCCCTTCCTCTGGATTCACCATCAGCTCCCTGTGGTGCCACACTGCCTTGGCCTCTAGAGCAAAGGTAGGAAACAGCAGTTGGATGAGGGAAGGAGGAGCCTGGAGACTCCAGCAGCTATTGCTGGAGCAGTGTGGGGAATGGCAACTGGGTGAGAACCTGGGAGCTGTACATTAACCTTCTGAGGGCTGCTTATGGCCTGTGGGCCACCAGTTGGACAGCACTGATTCACAGCAAAATGCATAACCAGCATTGAAGCATATGTTCCTTCACAGGGCCACAGTCAGCTGCGCTCTTGCTTGCTTACTTGGGGCCCTTCCACTCTTAATTGTCAGCTTCAACAGGACAGATGGAGAATGGTTTCAGCTATGTGTAGTCTCTGTCTAGCAGACTGTACTGGGATGTGGGAGACCTGGGTTCACAATCCCCTGAGGGCAAGGTAGACCTATGGCCAAGGTGTCTCACTGGCACATTCAGTGGCAACATGTAGTGGGTACACGGGAGTGCACGTGCACCCCCTGAGAACGCTGGTGCACCCATTGACCAGCTGCACTCCCTGCTTAGGCAGTGGGGGCAGGCGGGAGTGCTGGTGCCCCCCCATGAGTGCTGGCTGGGGAGCGGGAGCACCAGATGTAGCATCGCGGCCACTTCTAGGAGCACTGCAGCTGCTTCTGGGAGTGCTGCAGCCGCTTCTTAGTCAGCAAGGTTGGTCATGGGGGGACCCCCCCATGGTCATTGACTGGTTGCTGAGGAGGCACGTGCCCCCCCTGATGAAGGTGGTACCTGCTGCCCGTGGGCACATTTCTTAACAACTAGGTGATTAGGCAAAAAGTGGGTTACCATTACCATCAAGAAGTTGCCAGCTATGGGGTTTTGCTGACTATAGTTTCAGTGGACTCTTGCAAATGTATATGCTCTTGTGGTGAAAGTGGATGGCAACAGAGTATAAATGAAGTGAGATGTTTAGGTGGCCATCTTGGATTGGGTATGAACATGAGCAGTAGGTGAAGTTTAGATATGTAGGGGCTAAAATGATGAAGGAATGTAGATTTTAAAGCAGAATTTGAGCTGTTTTATTAGAATGAAATAGAAACACAATCAGTTATTTAGATGCCTAAAATACAGAAGTACTTCTTAGACCAGGGCGGCAATTATTTTGGGTGGAGGGCTGCTTAATGAGGTTTGGTGAATTTTCGAGGGCCGCGTGGGTAGCTCCGCCCCTTGAGTTGCTCTGCCCCCTGGT